AAAAAAAAAAAAAAAAACAACTTACTCCTGATAGCGGTGCGGAGCTCATTATGGATTCAAATTGTGGGCGATCTGATTGGGAAATATTACAGGCGAGAATGAAAAACTGATCAGCTATAGATCGGAGTTCTTTATTGAACGGCGATGTACCCGTCGATGGTACAAACGGAACTGCAGCGAGTAAAATTTGGGAACTTTTATGTGAAGAGTTGATAGTTTTTTCAAAGTCGGGTCAAGGAGATGGATACTAATTTTTTTTTTAAAAAAAATCTAATTATTTTTAACTAATCATTTTTTTTTTTGGTAAAATACTTTTTCTCATCCGAATTATCACGGTTTTGGCGCATCACCATATAAACTATTTTTTTTATTACAAACCACCATATGAACTATACAGGTTTGTCAATATGCCCCCTAAACCGGATAGAAAAGTGGTTTAGGGGGCAAATTGACAAACCCGTGATAGTTCATATGGTGGTTTGTAAAAGTATTTAGGGGCACATATGGTGACCAAACAGTTTTTTCAGTCAAAACCACTTTTATATCTGTTTTAGGGGGCACATTGACAAACTTGTATAGTTCATATGGTAGTTTGTAAAAATAAATAGTTTATACGGTGATGCGCCAAAACCGTGATAGTTCGGGTGAGAAAAAATATTTTTCCCTTTTTTTTTAACTCAAATTTAACATCATACTTGTTTTATCTCCTACGTCATTGTTGAGCATGGATATGCAGCTTAGTATATTTTCTTTAATATTTGTTCTCTTCTATTTTTATGTTTTTAGGTTTTCTTGTAAAGTCGCCTTCTACTTATAAAGGCGCGTTTTTCTTTTCTTCCTCTTAGATTACTGTTTGCTTAGCTGACGTGGCGTTCGCTGTTTGGTCATTATGGGCCTTAAGCACGTCCGTATAAATGTGCATCGTTCTCATGAAACTCTGTAATTTTCTGGTTAAGAAATACAAAGAAAATTCCCAAAATATTTGAGCTTTACAGCTTTACATGGTATCAAGAGCGGGTCATCAATGGCGCGCGAGATTACAGCTGCGAAATACGGACGCGATTCCGATCCACTTCTACTTCATGGTTCAGATCATCCAGGGATGATATTGGTGAGCAATCTTCTCACTGGATCCAACTATCTCCATTGGAGCCGCGCAATGAGATTAGCGCTCGGAGCAAAATCCAAATTAGGTTTTGTTCATGGCACAATCACAGTTCCAGATCGAAATTCGGAGGATTACGAACAACATCAAAAGGTGGAGTTCATGGTGATGTCTTGGATACTGAATTCGATCTCAAAAGAAATCGTACAAGCTTTCATGTGCGTGAAAAATTCGAAGCAGCTATGGGACGAGTTAGCTGAACGATATGGCGAAAGTAATGGACCACTTCGATATCAACTGAAGAAGGAGATTTCTAACATGTCTCAAGGTAATCTCTCAGTTACATCTTACTATACTAAGTTGAAGTGTCTCTGGGATGAGTACACATGTCTAGTAGCCCTACCTGAGTGTAATTGTGGTGCTGAAAAGGCTTATAACGATAATGATTCAGAAAGTAAACTCATGGAGTTTTTAATTAATGGGGCTGAATGATGTGTTTGAGCCAGTCAAAAACCAAATACTGTTAATGAAACCTTTACCTACCATAAATAAAGCCTACTCCATGATACTGAAGGTAGAAAAACAGAAATCCATTCACAACTCAAACCTAGAAGGAGTGGATGGTGCAATTATGCTGGTCA